AATAAGTACACATATTTATATATTTATACCTTAGATTTATCAGTTAGGTCATGTTAGGACCTACTTTAACTTGGCAAAGTTATGAGGCAATGATTTGATAATTTCATACGGAACATCTTAATCAGTCTATTGTCATGACCTAGACATCTTATCTATGTTGAGACAAAAACTTAAGGGTACATATGACATGGGAAATTTCCTGACTTGTTGTTACATTAACCTAGGACAAAATGGCATCCTAAAGTCTGAACATAATATTCACTGAATATAGGTAAGAGGTAATTTATTAAATAAATGTTGTATGAAAAACAATATTTTCCATTTCTAACAAATTTGCTTGCAAAATCTCTAAAAGACAAAGTGCACAGTTTAAGAAGTACAACTTTTCATTCTAAAAACTTGTAATATTTGCACATGCCCATAACAATAGTATTAACTTGATACTGAAACCAAGTTATACATTATAATTTATCACATACAAACTACAAATCTTCAGTTTGAGACAGTAATATAATGAAAATATGAAAATCTAAACTCACTTTCGTTTGGAGGCCAAATACAGTCTTCTAGCAGAGTGAGTGTGTGTGTGTGTGTGCGCGCGTGTGTAGATAGATAGATAGATAGATAGATAGATAATCTTGGCCAGTTTCCATATACAAACCAATGGGATGCTGTTTTAAATATATCTGAGAAATACAGGCAGAGGCGTAACTAGAGACCATGGGGCCCCGGTGTGAAAATATCCCTGGGGACACCCCAGTCCCACGATGTGTCTGATTCTTTCCCTCCACAACCCATCAATGTGTCTAATTCCCAGCCCCTCCATGTGTCTTATTTACCTCATGTGTCTCATTCCCTCCCCCCAGACAGGCTCCCTGTGTCTCATCCCCCCCCCAAGTGTCGTATTTCCTCCCACTCAGCCCCTCCATGTGCCTCACCCCCCAGGCACCTCCATATGTCTCATTTCCCCCTAAGTGTGTCATTTCCTCGTCCCCAATCCCCTCCATGTGTCACATTCCCCCAAGCTCCATATTTTGTCTCATTCCCCCCCCCCAAAGCTCTTCCATGTGTCTCATTCCCCCCAGGCACTTCCATGTGTCTTTCACCTTCCTCCACTCTTACCCCTCCATGTGTCTCATTTTCCCCCCATGTGTCTCATACACCCAAAGTGTATCATTTGCTCCCCCAGCCCCTTCATGTGTCTCATTTCCCCACCATAAGCCACTCCATGTGTCTCTCTCCCCCTGCCCTTCCCCTATAGCCCTCCATTTCTTTCTTCCCTCATCTCTGTCTTCCCCTGCAGCCCCTCAATTTTTCACTTTCCCCTCCCCTCCATTTATTTTTCCCCCTCCATTTCTCTCAAACCCCCTGCAGCCCCTCCATTTCTCTCCCCCACTCTTTCCCTGCAGCCCTCTATTTATCTCTCCCTTGCAGCCCCTCAATTTTTTACTCCCCCTCCCCTTCTCTCCCGCTGCTCAAGTTTTCTCTCCCCCTACCCTTTCCTCCCCTCAATGTTTCTCTCCCCCTGCCTTTCCCTCCCCTCCATTTCTCTCTCCCCTGCAGACCATCAATTTTTCAGTTTTTGGGACACTAAGACACTAGAGGACACTGGGCAACATGGGGACACTGAGACACTAGGGGACACTCTCCTTCCTTTTCTCTCTCCCCTTTACCCTGCAGTACCTCAATTTTTCTCTCCCCCCTCCACTCCCCCCCCGTACCTGTTGGCCATAGTACCCGTCTGAGACTGACAGGAAGTGCTCTCTCTGTAAGCACTTCCTGTCAGACCACTCGGCCGCGCTACACACAGCGGCAGGAGGGGAGCAGCACAGCAAGTCACTCTCCTCTTGCCTGTTAGCCTGGGACCAAAAAAGGTAAAGGCCTTTTTTGAAGTGTGAAAAACTGTGCATAATAGATCATATCCATATACAATAAAGTGTCATAAATGGGTTAACTGTAGTATAAAATGTTTTAAGATTTATTAGTGAATATTTGATTATTTAATGATCTGTATGTTTTGAGCTGAGTGATCCATTTCAGAGATATACCCCAATGTAAACATGTATGCATTTACACCCTGTTCCAAATTATTATGCAAATTATATTTTTCTCATTTACCTAAATAATTTATGCAAATAACAGTCAGCATAATTCTCATGTTATCAACTATTAAGAGTACAATTCAAATTTTATTGAACAAACCTCCTAATGATAACAGTATTTATTTATTTTTTAGACATAAAAAAAAACTTACAATGCACTTTTCCAAATTATTACGCACAGTAAGTTTCAAAACACTTTATAGGTTGTAAAGAATTGAAAATTGTCATTTGTTGTGTTTGCAGCATATTTACTGAAATCAAAAGCTATTTCAATCAAGCTTATAACAACATTTTAACAGGTCACATTACATTTTAACATAGGACCCCTTATTTGATAGCAGCGTCACAAGTCTTGCATCCATTGAACTTGTGAGTTTTTGGACAGTTTCTGCTTGAATATGTTTGCAAGATGTCAAAATAGCCTCCCAGAGCTGCTTTTTGGATGTTAACTGCCTCCCACCCTCATAGATCTTTTGCTTGAGGATGCTCCAAAGGTTCTCAATAGGATTGAGGTCAGGAGAGGATGGAGGTCACACCATGACTTTCTCTCCTTTTATCCCCATAGCAGCCATTGATGAAGAGGTATTCTTTGCAGCATGAGATAGTGCATTGTCATGCATGAAGATGATTTTATTATGGAAAGCATAGTTCTTCCTTCTGTACCAGGGAAGAAAGTGGTCAGTCAGAAACTCCACATACTTTGCAGAGGTTATCTTTACACCTTCGGGGACCCTAAAGGGGCCGACCAGCTCTCTTCCCATGATTCCGGCCCAAAACATGACTCCACCACCTCCTTGCTGACGTCGCAGCCTTGTTGGAACAGGGTGGCCATCCACCAATCATCCACTACTCCATCCATCTGGACCATCCAGGGTTGCACGGCACTCATCAGTGAACAGGACTGTTTGAAAATTAGTCTTCATGTATTTTTCTGCCCAATGCAGCCGTTTCTGCTTGTGAGCATTAGTTAGTGGTAGTCGAATAGAAGGTTTATGCACAGTTGCAAGTTGTCCGTGGGACTACAGAGGCACCAGCAGCTTCAAATATCTGTTTGCGGCTATGTAATGGTATTTTAGCAGCTGCTCTCTTGATCCGATGCATGGATCTGGCAGAAATCTTCCTCAATGTGCCTTTATCTGCACGAACCCATCTGTGCTCTGAATCAGCCACAAGTCTCTTAATAGTGCAATGATCACGCTTACGTTTTCGTGAAATATCTAATGTTTTCATACCTCATCCAAGGCATTGAACTATTTCACTCTTTTTGGCAGCAGAGAGATCCTTTTCTTCCCCATATTGCATGAAAATGGTGCTCTGCTTAATAATGTGGAACACCCTCCTTTAGTAGTTTTTCCTTAAATTGGGCTCACCTGGCAATCTAATTATCACAGGTGTCCGAGATTGTTTTCGGTGATCAAAAGAGCCCTGAGACACAATGCCATCCATGAGTTAAACTGAAAAACAAAATATTTAATCTTTGTGACACTGAAATAGAATTTGCATAATAATTTGAAACAGGGTGTAACTATGCTTCTTTTTGCCTGCCTCTTGAGTTTAGCTCAACTGACTAAACAACGAAGAAGTATCAGGACCAGTTGTTTGATTGGCAGCCAGTGGACAGGGCCAGATTAACATAGGGGCTGATGGAGCTGCAGCTCCAGGCCCATGCCCATGCCCATGGTATAGGACCAGTGATTACATTTTTTATTTTTTTTTACACACTACTCTTAGGGTTGCCAGCTGGCCAGTATTTCTCGGATATTTGAGGCTGCCTGGCCAGTGTTGGTATTGCAGTAATACCGGCAATACAAATGTCAGTCTCAGTATAAACAGAGATTATTCTGCAATACCAGTGCCAGCCAATAGGGTGTGTGTGGAGAGAGGCAGGGATAGGAAGTTACAGCATGCCTCTTCCTGCCTCTCTCTAGTCACTGATTGGTGGGGGGGAGAGCAGCTCTACACAGAGAATCCAGACAGCAGCTCTGAGCCTGCAGAGACAGCCTACAGCTCAGGTAAATGAGGAATGGGGGAAAGGCTGCAGTGAGACATGGGGACACAGACACTAGGGGACACTGGGAGACACTACGGGACACTGGGAGACTAGGGGAAACTGAGACACTAGGGGGCACTGGGAGACTAGGGGAAACTGAGACACTAGGGGACACAGACACTAGGGGACACTGGGAGACATAGGGACATAGGGAGACATAGGGACACTAGGGGGTACTGGGGGACAACACTGAGACACTAGAAGACACTGAGACACTAGGAGACATAGGGACACTTGGGGACACTAGGGGGCAGTGTCCGCATGTCTCCCAGTGTCCCGTAGTATCCCAGACTTCCCTAGTGTCCCAGAATCCCCATGAATCTCAGTGTCCCAATGTTTTCCAGTGTCCCCAGGTCTCCCAGTGTCTTGAAGTGTCCCCTCATGTCCTAGTGACCTGGGGACACAGACACTAAGGGACACTAGGGAACACTGGGCAACATGGGGACACTGAGACACTAGGGGACACTGGAAGACATAGGGACGCTGGGAGACACAGGGACACTTGGGGACATTAGGGGGCACTTGGGGACCTGGGGACGGTGAGAGACTCGGGGACACTGAGACACATAGGGACACTAGGGGGTACTGGGAGACAAGTGGACACTGAGACACTAGAAGACACTAGAAGACATAGGGAGACTGGGAGACATAGGGACACTGGGAGACACTAGGGGGCAGTGTTTGCATGTCTCCCAGTGTCCCCTATTATCCCAGACTTTCCTAGTGTCCCAGAATCCCCATGAATCTCAGTGTCCCAATGTTTTCCAGTGTCCCCCAGTGTCCCAATGTCTTGAAGTGTCCCCTCATGTCCTAGTGACCTGGGGACACAGACACATGGGGATACTAGGAAACATTGGGACACTAGGGAACACTGGGCAACATGGGGACACTGAGACACTAGGGGACACTGGGAGACATAGGGACACTTGGGACACTAGGGGGCACTTGGAGACCTGGGGACAGTGAGAGACTCGGGGACACTGAGACACAGTGGCCCCATGTCTCCCAGTGGCCCCTAGTCTCTCAGCACTACAGTGTCCTGATGTTTCTCAGTGTCCCCATGTCTCCCAGCCAGTGTCCCTAGTGTCTCAGTGTCCCTATGTCTTCCGTTGTCCCTGGTGTCTCGGTGTCCCTGGTGTCTCGGTGTCCCTAGTTTCCCAGAGTCCCCTAGTCTCCCAGAGCCCCCATGCATCCCAGTGTCCCCATGCATCCCAGTGTCCCCATGTCTCCCAGCCAGTGTCCCTAGTGTCTCAGTGTCCCTATGTCTCCCAGTGTCCCTGGTGTCCCCTAGTCTCCCAAAGTCCCCATGTATCTCAGTGTCACAATGTATCTCAGTGTCCCCATGTCTCCCAGTGTCCCCATGTCTCCCAGTGTCCCCATGTCTCCCAGCAAGTGTCCCTAGTGTCTCAGTGTCCCTATGTCTCCCAGTGTCCCTGGTGTCCCTAGTGTCCCCTAGTCTCCCAAAGTCCCCATGTATCTCAGTGTCACAATGTATCTCAGTGTCCCCATGTCTCCCAGTGTCCCCATGTCTCCCAGCCAGTGTCCCTAGTGTCTCAGTGTCCCTATGTATCCCAGTGTCCCCTAGTCTCCCCGTGTTCCCTAGTCTCCCAAAGTCCCCATGTATCTCAGTGTCCCCATGTATCCCAGTGTTCCCATGTGTCTCAAAGTGTCCCCTCATGTCCTAGTTACCTGGGGACACTGGGAGACACAGACACTAAAGGACACAGAGACATGGGGACACTGGGAAACAGTGTTACTAGTATCTGTGTCCCCATGTCTCCAATTGTCCCTGGTGTTTCTCTGTGTCCGTAGTGTGCCAGTATCTCTAGTGACTCAGTGTTTCCTAGTCTCCGAGAGTGCCCTAGTCTCCCAGTGTCCCCATGTCTCCCAGTGTCTCAGTGTCCCCTAGTATAAAAGAAAAAAATCTCAGGCACTCACTTTGCTAGATTTAAGCAGGTTTATTGGATACAACAACGTTTCGACCTGTACCCAGGTTTTTATCAAGTCTCCAGTATCCCCTAGTGCAGGCATAGGCAACCTTCGGCACAGATGTTTTGGACTACACCTCCCATGATGCTTTGTCAGCATTATGGGTGTAAGAGCATTATGGGGGATGTAGTCCACAACATCTGGAGTGCCAAAAGTTGCCTATCCCTGCTCTAGTGTCCTAGTGACATGGGTACACAGACACACTAGGGGATACTGAGACACATAGGGGACACTGAGATATAGGGGTCACTGGAGACGTGAGGACACAAAGACACACAGACACTGAAACACTAGGGGGTTTAGGGGACTGGGAGACTAGGGGATACTGGAAGACATGGAGACACAGACTCTGAGCGACATGGGAACACTGAGACACTGGGAGATTAGGGGACTAGGGGAAACTGGAGGACAATGAGACACTGGGTGACATGGGGACACTGAGAGACATGGGGACACTAATACATAAGGACACGGAGACACTGGGAGACACTAGAAACAATCCATATATACAGTAGAATAAAACTGTAAGTAGTTTTTTTGTTGATTTTACAGAATTATCTATTATGTCACTCCATATGTTGTCACGCATACAAAATGTATTATGCAAGTTAGTAAGGCCAGGTTTTTTTTTTTTCCCCCAAGAAAGGTGTCAACCCTAAATACTGTTCACATACTCTTGCTTAAGTATGGAAACGTAAGAGGGTTGTAGAGGACTGTGTGGAATGGCTGACAATGAAATTAGTTTAGGTAATGCTGATTTTGGTCTCTCTAACATTGTGGCATGTTCCTTTTTTCTACACTCACTGTATACACCTTTTTTCTGTCCCAGACTATATACCAGGAGCTTCTGCCTGCTTGGAAGAAGGTAAAGAGACAAGTGTACATGTGTTTCTAGGGGACAGTCCTTAGAAAGAGTGGAGCGAGTGCATCATTAGACGTATTTATGCCAAGCTCAGGGTGCTGTCTGCATAGTATGCCCTTAGTTGGCCAGCCTGCATGACTGGCAGGCAGCTTGACACACATTCATACCAGGCTGTCCTTCAAATTCTTTGGGCAGACATACCCCCTTTTTGGGGATGTTCACCCTTTCCAGCAGTTCTGGTTACGTAATTTGCATCAGTGGCCCACCCTTTTACCCCATCCATAGACTTTACTTTACTGGAAACTGCTGTTAGGGGGTATGGATTTACTTCAAAGATAAAAGTTTGAGATTAGCAGGAAAGGAGGTGGCTAGGATAAATACCAACAGCCCTGGGAAATACCAACAGCACATACAGTTACACACTTTAAAACATTTCACATATAGGGGGGAAACTTAGGAGCTCCGAGCCTCGGGAATGGAAGGTGTCACACATACAAAACATACATCATTAGATAGTCCCGGGTCCTAACTGGGATCCCTGCAAATAGCGGGACTATTGGATGTACAGAGCCCGAGAATCCATCATACAAAGTCTAGGCTCAAGGCTCTGTAGATCCCTGAAAGTAGTTCCAGGCGGTTGCTTGGTTTAGTCAAGCAAATTTAAACTTCATGCCTATACCAAGCAACAACCAATCAGCTGAAAGGCGCAAAACCAATTTGCGCCAATCAGCGCTCAGGGAGGAGAGGGGTTTCACTGCCCAATTAGGAAAAAGGGCACAAAACCCCTGTGCACCAATCAACGCTCTGGGAGAATCCTCTCAGATTGGTTGCCTGTGCCCCACAATGACCAATCAGTGCTCCTTATGCCAACACATCAAGAATGGATTTCATGGGAGGATACCACAGAGGAAGTCACTGCTGTCCAAACAAAAAATTGCAGCATGTATACAGTTTTCACAAGAGCACCTGGATGTTCCACAGCAGTACGGGCAAAATATTCTGTGGACAGATGAAACCAAAGTTGAGTTGTTTGGAAGAAACACACAACACTATGTGTAGTGAAAAAAAGGCACAGCACACCAATATCAAAACCTCATCCCAACTGTGAAGTATGGTGGTGGGGGCATCATGGTTTGGGGCTGTTTTGCTGCGTCAGGGCCTGGACTGATTGCTTCATCGAAGGAAAATGAATTCCCAAGTTTATCAAGACATTTTGCAGGAGAACTTAAGGCCATCTGTCTACCAGGTGAAGCTCAACAGAAGATGGGTGTTGCAACAGGACAATGACCCAAAGCATAGAAGTAAATCAACAACAGAATGGCTTAAACAGAAGAAAATACGCCTTCTGAGTGGCCCAGTCAGAGTCCTGACCTCAACCCGATTGAGATGCTGTGGCATGACCTCAAGAAAGCCATTCACACCAGACATCCCAAGAATATTGCTGAACTGAAACAGTTCTGTAAAGAGGAATGGTCAAGAATTACTCCTGACTGTTGTGCACGTCTGATCTGCAACTACAGTAAATGTTTGGTTGAAGTTATTGCTGCCAAAGGAGGTTCAACCAGTTATTAAATCCAAGGGTTCACATACTTTTTCCACCTGCACTATGAATGCTTACATGGTGTTTTCAATAAAAACATGGCAGCATTTCATTTGTTGTGTGTTATTAGTTTAAGCAGACTGTGATTGTCTATTGTTGTGACTTAGATGATGATCAGATCACATTTTATGACCAATTTGTGCAGAAATCCATATCATTCCAAAGGGTTCACATACTTTTTCTTGCGACTATACATCTATATACGTCAAAAGAACCAGTGAATACATGTATGCCTCAAGACTTCTTACTTTCCCACACCATGTACCACATGTAATGTGGAAATGGGAGGAAGCCCAAGGCTCCCACCTTCTTGTTAGAGATTCTGTAGACTACCCTGTAAACTATGTATATTTAACCAATAATATACTGTATTTTGTGAGGGGAATAGAATCAACTGAGAAAGTCCCTTTGCTTCAAATGTATTGAATTAGCAACTCCCACATCAAGGGATATGAGATTAAATATAGCTTGGTTGCTTCACCTAAGTGTTGCTTCTAAGTGTGTAGTTGGAGATATTCTGGAGAGTTTTACAGAAGCTTCAACTGTCTAAGAGTTGTGCTAAGAGCTTTCTTTTCTACTGTTACGGGTAAGATTCATCTGTACGAAAAGGTTACTGATTGCACAAGGTTTGAATTCCTGTTGGTAATTATAAGGCATTTGATTTGATTAAGCTAGTTACTTGCTATTGATTGCTGGTTAATTAGCTATTGTTTGCAAATAAGCAGAGGCC